TTTTTTTTTCCCCATCATGACAATGCATCTTGCTTATTCCCACCCCACCCCTAATAATTTTATTGGGAGCTCTTACAGCTCTTATAACATTTCATACATCAATTGTATCAAGCACATTTATACTTATGTTGCCATCATCATTTTTCAAACATTTTCTACTTCAGCCCTTGATATAAACTCCTCTATTTTCCCCTCCCTCCCCCACTCCTGTATCCTTGATTAATTATATATTGTTATTTCATATGTTACACTGTCCTGTTTCCATCCACATTTCCATTATCCTTCTCCTTAGCAGGGGGTGGGGTGGTGGGGGTGGTGGTAATATATATCCAATCTTGTGATGGGTTCCCCTTTTCTCACCTTTCCCCTCCCTGACTATCCCCCTACCTCCTGATATTGTTACTCCCATTACTGTTCCTGAGGGGTTTATCTTTCCTGAATTCCCTGTGTTGGAAGCTCTTATATGCACCAATGTATGTTTTCCGGTCTAGTAAGATTTGTAAGTTAGAACTGGGTCATGGTAGTGGGGGTTGGGGGTGGGGAAGTATTCAGGAAATAGAGGGAATGATGTGTGATTCATCGGTGCTTTACTACACCTTGATTGAATCATCCTTTCCTTATACCACTTTTGTAGGATATCCAATTATCTACAGAAGGGCTTTGGGTCTCCACTCCAACCCCCCTCTTTCCCATCTATATAGTTGTTTGTTTTGGGTCTTTTGATACCTCTTAACAACCGGCTTATTCGTCAAGGTAGCAAGCCTATTAAGAATTTCCTTGAGAAACTTTATTTCATTCACATTTAGCTTTGATCTTGTTCCTCCATACTTCTTTTTGGTTTCAAAACTCAAAGAACATTAAAAGGAACACAACTTAAGTCCCTTGAAGATACTAAGACTGTCATTTTGACTTGGTATAAATCAGAGAACACAGAGTTCTCTAGGGAAAGGTTAGGGAAATGGAAATATTATTTTCAAAGGTGCATAGACCACTATACACCAAGAAACAGTAGCTTTACATTTTGATCATTTTGTTTAATAAAGTCTTTTAGGGTTTTGTAGCAATATTTTTAAAATTTACCTTATTTTCCATACTTTTATTAGTCACCTAGATGTCCACAGTGAACACATGAGAGGCATGGATTTTTCTTTCTCCTTTACTTTGCACCCTACAACGCTTCTCTCCCATCTTTCTGACTCAATCTGCTTTGCCACAGATGAACTCAAACCTTCATTATTTCCTCTCCCAACTAGAAAAACATCCAATTCTGTCCCACAACCAAACACAGCTATGGTTCTAAAAAACGATGCCACTAGTCTACCTTTCTGCTTTAAGAGGAACTTTAAAAAGCTTTCATCTTATAAATAAAGAGAAAAGTAGCATTCAAATTAAGAGATCAGAAATAAGACACGAACAGCCAATTTACAAAAGAAAAACTGTTAGGAATACTATTAAAGTAGCAATTTAAAAACTCTTATCTTCAAAAAAAAGATGCTATTTCTTGTTTATCAGGCAAACAGGAACTTTACAGTTCTGAATATTCATGAATATTTAATGAAACACAATGAAAGTCATAAAGTATTATGAATTACATAATAATATCTGACACAATACTTGTGGGACAACACTGAAGTCATGGTTGGAATTTATGGATATATGGGTATGGGTGTATGGATG